ATGTTTACCATTCGAAGTAATCATTGTCAATTTTTATATTTTTTTCAGTTGCGATCACTTTTGTATTTTTAGAATTTATAAACTTATTTCAGTGGGTTAATATAATACAATGTAATGTAATAATTTCAGTATTATTTATTATATTTAGCTTGATAAATCTTATACAACAAGCAGCACCATGCTGTCTTATTTAGAAACTTAATAAATATCATGTGATCGGTACTATATTTACGAAGGATCAATATTTCATCTTGAGTTCAACGAGGTAAAGGTACATTTAGGAACAGTCCTTCGAAGTTTCCATTAAAAAAGTTTCAATCTAACATAACCCCTGTGCAGGGTGTCCTATTTAAACTGATCTACTCAAATAACTTTGAAAATATTGATAATACGACAAAAAGTTTTATACAGAAATTACATGATTTCAGGAGACAAGCTATCTATTGAAAATAGTATTCTTTTACACAGGTATGTGAAAGAAATATAAAGGTTAACATTGTTCTTTTAAATGATATTATACATTGTTTTGATGTAGTTCATTATACTCTATACAAGAGTATTGTGGAATTTATAACAACAAATCATTAATTTTGAAAATATTTTTACTTTAGCTTTGCGAAACATCACTTCAACGTAGCTAATATACGTCGCATTTAATATCTTGTGTTTATATGACTGTTTATAAATAAATATTAGTATGTTGTACACTCGGAAGCAACGTAGGTTTTTTTTAGATAAAAATACATATGTGAACTTGATAATTTTTAAATTTAAAAATTTTCGTAAAGTTCTAATCTAAAGATCAAATTCAAAATTTTCAATTTTTCAAGTTTTCACAGTTTTAAATTTCAAAATCTTCAAATCTTCAAATCTCTAAACTTCTAGATTTTTAAGAATAAAAATTTCCATATCCATAAATACCCAGATTCTCAAATTCTTCAAGATCTTCAAATCTTCATATCCCCAAATACCTATGTCCCAAAATTCCTAGATCTCTAAATCTCTATATCCCCAAATACTTATATGCCAAAATTTATAGATTTTCATATCTTCAAATTTCCAAATACCTATTTGGCAAAATTTATAGATCACTGTTCTTTATATTCCCAAACACCTATATTCCAAAACTCCTAGATCTCTAAATCGCTATATACTCAAATACCTATGTGCCAAAATTTATAGATCTAACATCTTCAGATTCTAGATACCTATTTACCATAACTCATAGATCTCTAAATGTCCACATTCCCAAATACCTACATATGTCACAAAACTCCCAGATCTCTAAATTACACATCTCCTAAAACTTCCTAAATCTCTAAAGCTTCACATCCCCAGATACTTATGTTTGAAAATACCTAGATTCCCATATCCTTAAATCTACAAATACCAAGATCCCCAAATACATATTCCTTCAAATTCCAAGACCTTTGCATCCCTACCTTCGCAAATCCTAAGCTTCCAAAATTCTTATATCCCTAAATTCCTAAATCCCTCTATCTCTAGATCCAGAAATTCTAAAGTCCCCAAATTCTCTAATTTTAAAATGTTGAAACATTTTATCATTGCACGTATGATACACCAATGGTCGTAAATTCTTCAATTCTATCTCTGTATCTATACTCAATTAATACTAGAACTACTACTTTTGTAACATACGTAATAATAAAATATTTTCATATACATTGATTTATTACTTTCTTTCAAAAGGAATTCCATGTTATCTAGTACATTTTTGTTACTATTAATCCATGTGAGGTTATGATCCCTAAATAAAAGACTACATACTTGCATATCAATAAAAATAATAAGTATAATAAATGATATATGCATTGGTATACAAATTTTTAATAAATTCCCGTTTCGAAATTAAGTTATTGTTATAGTATGAAGTAATTATTAAAAATAAAAATTTATAATTTGTTACATTTTTTATAAACACATGTTTACTTTTGAGTACATTTTCGGTACACGTATTTTTTACAAGTATTACAAGTGGTAACATTCTTGTTATTGTTACAGTGCCTTATTTGAGACCATTCGTGTCAACAAAGTGAGCTCTTTGAAGTTCTTTGGACATTAGCTTTGCGTGATTTTATTCCTGGTTTTTCATTTACATAACAAAGTTTCATAACAAAACATTCTTAACAACATTCATAACAAAAACTTCAATTTGCATTCTACGTCTCCAGATGTAAATGAACGACTAAAGATATTTTCGAATGAGTGCGTTATTTTTGCATTGACATCATAATTGATCCCAAATTTTTCTGATATTTATTATCATCATATTAAATGGTGTGTAGTAAGAATTCTAAAAACGTGTGAAAAGTTATTCAAAACATAAAAACGGGCTAATTCGAGTTCAGTATACTGATTAACCCTATACATTTTAACTGATATTGGTACAAGTAGACGTGATACAAAATTATTATAACTTTTAATGCTAAATATTTAAAATAAGGAAGCCGCTTGCGATTTCGATTACTTTGAAATATGTATATTGTCGAGGTCATCATTCTGAACAACTTACTTCTATACAAATGATGGTCGAATATTTTTAGTCTACGAGATGTTTGAAAAAATAACGCGCTTTAGTTATTTTAGGAGGCTTACCTTTCTAAATCCCCCTCCCCCACGACGACAATAACTTCAAACCTCTTTGGGAAGGATTTTTTTAGGTACTTCAAAAAAACAGGTTAGCGTCAACGTATTTTTAAGGGTCTTGAAGGGCAATTAACTGACGCTAGTTTGCCTTTGAACAATTTATGAAAGCGAATGAATAAAGTTTGATACATTTACCATGAATCGAGCGTGGAAAGAAATGAAGGAGGCCGAGGGTAGACCTTCTTTCTTTTACATGGCGTAAAATCCTGAAAGGCAAAAGACAGAATTTTTCTAACAGATATGTAGGGATTAATCAACGGATAGTATATGTAGGTATGAGTTTAATACTACCAACTGCTACATGGAGCATATATTAGTCATTTATTCATCTAGATTTTGTTCGAGGGACACATAATTGTAATTATTTTGAAAAACGTATTCGACAACATCTTTAACACTATATTTACGGACGTTAGATGGTCACTCTTACTTAAATTTACCTAAAGTAGAAAAATAAATAAATTGCAGATGATATGTGAACTGCCTAAAACATTGATTCTTTTGCTGAAATGGAAAATAAGTTATTATATGTAATAACTGATGATATATTTATTTTAATCGATGTTGTTCTCAATTGTGTATAAAAAAATTATGTTAAAGCATAAGTAAATATCATAAAAGGTACTTATGCCTTAATGCTATTAATTTAACAATTATGGTAAAGGTACCGGTAGTTTACCAGTTTTTATCAAAAATAAAAGCAAGGTTTTTTTATGTACTGTGCACTTTTTACGAATGTGAACTTAAGATACCACGACATCGGTCAGTTAAATTTTAAAGCAGTTACAGATGAAGTGAAATACGCTTACTAATAACGAACACCCTATAATCATTAACCGTTTCTTAAAAGTAAATTATACTCCATCACAATTGACTTAACACAGACCATGAATAACTTTTCCCAATAGAGCCGATAATTAGTTGTATTTGCCTTGAAATACTTTATCAGAATATAAGCAAAAATACTTATCGTTCCATTTAAGAAATCAGTGATGACCTTCATGTCTCCAAAGTGCCTCCATATGGGCAAAAATTATTATTGCTGTATAATAGACCTCTTCGTACCGTACAATTTTGGTTACATCACTTTTTCTCTAGGCCTTATAGATTCGATGATGTTTAAGGTGCTAATAGTTATTGCCCTATTCTGTATGTTGTATTCTCTTAGGTTATGTAAAAACAGTGATATCCTAAGACAAAATTTGACCAAGACGAATATTTTTTTAAATATTATCATAATGCTGTATGAACCAATTCAGTTATTTCAAGAATGGGAAATATAGCAACAATGGATAATATGTCATATAGAAACAATTGTATCCATCCGATGTTCTATTAACATAGACACGTGATAAACTTAATATTCATTCCAGAGTAGTTTTATTATAATTGGCTTTTGCAAATATGTGAGCATAATTATAGTGACGTGCCTACCATATTTTTCAGTGGCGAAGTGCATTTAATATGGATGGAATGCTGGATTTCGTAATAATCATCATCAGTGTAATAAAGATCTGCAGTTTGTTATGCAACCAAAATATGAGCACCAATTAAATGTAAATATGAACAGAAATAATTGAAGAATTCTTAATTACATGTGTTTATTAATGGGAAACTGGCAGATATGAGTTATATTAATTGCTTAAACATGCACTTGAATGCACTATTAGGCGAAATCACATTCGTTATCACATGTGGTTTACACATAACAGCATATATCACATATTAGCCGAATTGTTAGGCAATGTTTAAGCAAGCAATCTTTAAATAAATATTTTGAGGTATATATTATTTCAGATATACAGGGTGTCTCATTATAATCTTCCCACGCGATTATCTCGCAAAATATTCATTATTTGAAAAAAATGTTTAAACGAAACATGCTCTGTCCGTAGGGGGACATTCAATGGTGTACACTGTCTTCTTCTGGGTGGAGGCGCCTCCGAGATTTGAGGGCCACCTTCGTTTTTTTAAATGGAAACATAGTTTTTTCCGCGCTGGACACGTAATTTACATCAAGACGTATCCATTGATCTACATTATATTGACCTTGAAGTGTCATTCAAGGTCATTTCAATGACATGAAGCTTTCTTCTTCACTGCACATCCAGAAAATGTATCTTGTCTTCTAAATTCAACAAGACGAGTTTGAATGCTGTTGACATTAATGTTTACAAACACAGAACATCACAATAATATTCTCAAGCTAGCACAACGACCTCGAGTACTAGTACCATTGACATTCACGTTACAAGTTCTAGTTTTTCTAGTTGCTTCGAAGTGGTGAGTAGGTAGATACTACAAGCATTCTTCATTTTAATAGCGATTTTACGATGGCTGATTATATGCCTATTGAAATTGTTGTCATGATTTTAGTTTTGGCAGAATGTCAGCAAAATTATAGGCAATCTGCCCGAGTGGATCAGAAAAGATTTCCGGATCGCCAGCACTCAAGTAGCGTCGTTATTATAAATTGTGAGATTCGGGCTCAGCAAGAATTCTTGTATCCACATCGCCGTGTTCATCGTTCAGAAAGATCGAAACTTGTAACGCTAGGAACGGTAGCAGCATATCGTCATAGAAAACAGTGTCGGTTACGGTGACAAGAACCCTTCGACGACATTATTTTCACCCGTATCACATTTCTTTACTTCAAGCATTACGTGATGCCGATTATAGTGTCAGTTTCAGATTTTGCCAATGGTCTTAGCGTAGGATAATACGTGATCCTTTCTTATTCTCCTAGGTGTTATTTTCGGTTGAATCAACTTTCAAAAACACAGGACAAGTGAATCGTCACAATTTCCACGATTGGCGTGATGAAAACCCTCACTGACATCGAGCAATTGAACAACAGCGTCAATTGTCTCTAAATGTTTGGTGTGGCATTATTGGTAGCTATTTAGTGGGTCTATATTTTTTTAATGGTACACTAACTGGAGAACGATGTAATAATTTTTTTTGTAATAAGTTGCAAATCTTTTTAGAAGATATTCCAGTGGCCACTAAGAGTGCGGATGTGGTTCCAGCATAACGGTGCTCTAGCACATTATGATCGTCGCGTTCGACAAATTTTAAATGAAATGTTGCTTAGACGGTGGATAGGTAGAGACAGTCCGATACCTTTTCCACCAAGATCGCCAGATTTAACACCTTCCGATTTTTACTTTTGGGGTTACATAGAAGATACAGTTTATGTGGAACAGCCAACAACAACTGAAAATATGAAGGCTCGAATAATAGAAGGCAAAGTACTAGGGAAACTTTAGAACAAGTTGAACTGTCAGTGAGGGATAGAGTCAGGTACTGAGACGTGCAGTGAAGAAGAAAACTTCAAACCATTAAAATGACCTTGAATGACATGTCAAGATCTACACAATGTAGACCAATGGATTCTTCAAATGGACGTTTCCATTTAAAAAACGAAGTCGCCTTCAAATCTTGGAGGTGCCGCCAACCAGTAAAAAACAGTGTACATCATTGTACAACATTTTTTTCGAATAATGAATATTGTTGGAGATAATCGCGTGGAAAGATTGTAATGAGACACCCTGTATATACAGTCCCTAGCCATCGAATTAGGATCACGTACGAAAATTTCATACTACATATTAGTACATTCTAGTTAACGCTTAGACATACTCTATTTGTAAATAAAAAACGTATACCCAAGCGTTGTAGTGTGCTATAGTTTTACCTTGTGCAGTTCTTCATTTAATTCGTTTTGAAAGTTAGTAAGGACGTTTTAATATAGTATTAGATTCTCTTTTCCATTTTTGTGAGATTCGTACATCATTTTCCACAATTAAAGGAACTCAAACCTTTCTTCCAAAAATTTAAACATGTACATTTAAATATGTACTAAATAAAATATCACGTAGATAAATTTATCTACATATATTATACATATACGTCATTATATACACGTCTCAAAATAAATACAGGATCCATATTAAGTTCTGCAAACAGCCGTATGTAAATTAAAACTGTAATTGATATGAAAAGTTCGCTCGCTGTACACAATATGTGCTTGTATTCAAACAATTTTAATTGCCACAAAATTCACACCAATTGAACTGCTCACTGTTCCGAAAATAACCACGTTTTAAATATTGTTACATTCGTTGTGGAAAAAAAAAAGTACGTTATTGTGCACCCTTCCGCAATACGCAATAATAACAATGGGCAACCCGTCATTTTGATCAATTAACTAATTAGAGGCAGTAATTCTTTAATTTTGTTATATCTACTTTTTGAAGCGTATTTAATTAAACTATCCATGAAAGCTTGAAAAATTAAACTTAATTACAAAATTGGGAAAATAAAAATAAGTCAATACACATCATGTACGCTGCACATATAATACAAAATGGCGGTTGAGTGGTCCGATCAAGATGGTATTTAATACATATCCTGAGAATATCTTTGTGAATAGCATACTTCGTTTATTTCCATTATGATTAAATACCGACTTCTTGATAGTTCAGTTTTGTTACTCTAATGTGTTTTGTATTTTCAATGAGTTATTTTAAACAGTCCACAGTTTTAATCTTTTGCACTCTAAGGTATTTTTATTGTTTGCAAACAGAAACTTTAAAACTTATTAGTAAATAGTTAAATGAAATGAAAAATGAAAAGCTAAATTCTTTTGAGGTTATTACTTTTTTCCTAATAATTTCTGCTATGGTCTGTTTGTACAATATTTAATATATTATATAATACAATATATGTGCAATACTATAGAATTAATTAAAAAATGTTTATTTCAAATTATTGTATTAAATCGAATGGCGACTGAGAGGCACCTCTCGAGCACAACGAATTAGTGCACTCTATATTTTGCATAAATATCAACAATCCATTAGTTATAGAACTGTATATTATTAGCATTTCATAAGATAACATAGGTTTATTAAAGCAATATATTTTACGTTTAGTAAGATCTATTGCCGTTCATACATGTATTGTTTACCTATCATCAGAAATTACACGAAAGATTTCGATTAACAAGACCACGTTTCAGGTCCTTAACGATTTATCGCATTCCCGAGAAATGAACACGGTTGTTCCATTACAATGCCATTGTGCTCGGAGGGCACGTTTCGATCCTTTCCACACAACGAAACCGTCCATTTCACTGGTGCTGATCTATTGTGCGTTGGTGATTTGTTGCAGTGCGTGTTACAAAAGGCCGGAAACTGGCGATTTAATGCGTTCACGCTGGAAACAGTGACGGGAGGTAAGCAATTATGTCAAAAATCATGCTACTATGGCAATCATACATCAATACCAATTATTATCGAATAATAGAATCATTCTTTAATTTGTCACAAACTCTGCGGCAGCAATAAGCCATACAGTTTTAAAACTCGCAGATTAATATATTTTATTTTTTAAAGCTTTTTAAGTAATAGAAATTTTTAGTACTGAAATTTGGATACTAAAAATGCATGCAAAATTTTTTCGTTTAATTTTGTTTAAACTTGCATGTAAACCCACATCCTAACATCGTTCAATTTAATATATTTTATTTTTTAATACTTTGAGTATAATTTCTTTTTATTTTTTAATACTTTAATAGTTTGAGTACCAGAATTGAATTTTTTAATACTGTAATTTGAATACTAAAATTGAATTTTTTAATACTGTAATTTGAATACTAAAATTGAACTTTTTGATAACAAAAGTTAAATGCAAAATCTTCATAATTTAACATTGTTTAGACTTACATGAAAACTCAAACCTTAACACTATTTATTCTACAATGAAAATCTAGTACAGAAACTGTTCATACCCATTAATGTTTATTTACTTCACCAAAAGAAAAACCAGCTAAAATATTTTATTAAAACGCATACACGAAGCAATGAATTATTATTCGCGACTTAAATTTAACCCACCTTATATTTTTGTAGTTCTCGTGAGTTCAGTTTAATTTTTACGATTCTGAAATGTCGAAATGAAGCATCCGATGACACTTTTAAATAAAGAAATATTCAAGTTTATATTCGTAAAATGGCAACATTTTTTATTTTATATGTATTTATTCTATATACTAATTTCAGTTTTATCAGAATGTCTCTCAGCAAAGTCAAAAGATCTTTATTATAATATCTGGCTTTAGAAAATTGTGATTCTCTGCTGTTCTCTCTACCCATGTTTAAACTATTATTATATCCTATATTACGTTTACGGGTTAAATTTAATCCATCTTATATTTGTGGATCGCTTATTAGTTGAGAGTAACTTTTTTGCAAGCTTTGTCGAAGAAAATCTTCATAACGCATTTGAATGAAAAGACATTCAAATTTAGGAGAACATGGTGTCATTGCGGTCACCATTAACAGTATAAAGCAAAATATCTAAAACTTGTATTTGTTTTCATTTATTTCTCGCAAAATGTCTGCTCCATATCTGAACTGATTTAGGTAAGTTATTACTATACGAGGGTAGTTTAAAAAGTTCTCGACGTAACATATAGATGACGCCAGTAGTATCAAATGGTTAGGATTTTTCATAAGTTTAATCCTTTAGAGGGCTTACTATAATGTCACACAGTTGCAGCAGTTTTCAGTCATTTTTTTATTACAATAATGTAAAAAAAGCCAAGATGTGACGGTTTTCAAAAAATGAATAAAATCAACTGTCATATAATTATAAAATATGAGAAAATATATTTTTATATGTTTCTTATTAGTGTATATGTATATCTTTTGTGTAGTAATAACTTACTTCTTTTCTGTAATAAGAAATTTAGTTGTAACATTGAAGTCATCATTGACATCATATTGTACTAAAAGTAGAAAAAAATTAAAACATCATTGGTCGAAGTCTTGAAACGAAATTATGTTAAAAAATAAAAAGAATTTTTTTCAAAATGAATTATTTCTTTGGTTACGCCAAGGAAATTATAACTTCCTACCAGACATTTAACCAGTTAAGTGTGTTTGACGACTATATCCGTCATGGAGATGGGGCAGAATTTTGTGTCATGACGACTATATCCGTCATGCGTAAAATTTTGTTACAATTTGATATTTAAATTGTAATTTTTACGAAAACTAAATTATATTCGTAAATTGTAATATGTTTAAAATGTTTAGAGGTCAACACGAAATGAAATAAACAAATAAAAAGTGTAAATGATTTGAGATGGATTCATAAATTCTTGAGAGCTAACTCGTCATCGCTTGATTGTCGTGACACACACTGGTGCGCGCTTTGCAAAAAGATCGCCACAGTTAACTGGTCAAATATAAGTTATGAAAAAAAATCGTACTGAATTTGGATTAAAAATAATTTCTTTAAATATTTGATACTTAATCTTTTTAACGAATGTTCAGCTAATAGGGGTTATATAACCACCATTACCTTCAATATGCTTTATTATGAAATGTATTTCGGCTAGCGAACTATGATATACTGAAGTACTTAATTTTGTATGATGTACATAATTTTGTACAATATGACCAATAACAGGAATATGTATATGTGTAATAAATTTCACTAAAGTTATGAAATATGGTGCAGATATATCTCATTGTGGTTTATGGAGTTAATTAAAATATACTGGGTTCGATTTTGTCGATGGTATGTATTTAAAAGCTGCTAACTACCGTAAATGTAATGTGACCGTTATTACTCGTGACATATTGGGATAAAGTGAAAGAATCGGATTTAAATTATAAGTTAATTCCCGATTAATTTTTTTATATATTCTATTAAATTCAATATAAAATTGTCACAATCGATTTTTGAATTTTTGTTTCTATAAAATACTTTTCTGATACAAGAAGTGGAAGAAAAACAGCGTGTTCTTCAATTTAATTTTTTTCTTCTTCAAAATAATATGTAAATCCTCAATATCACTTGGAAGAAATGTACGTATTTGCACGTGTAGAATAAAAGGTTTGTTTAATCAACAAGTTAGTTATAACTAAATTGTATAAATAAAAACTAACTTTAAAGAACAAGTTTGCAAAATATATATATATATGTTATAAAAATATACATTTTATATCTCGTAAACATAAATAGTGTTAGATATCATTTATTAATTCTATAAGTGAAACTTTTAAAAAAATACACTTTGTGGACAATTGTACAAACAGGAATCATTCTGATTCTTCAAAATTTATCACAGCAATCCTAAAAATAATATTTATGCGCGATATATGACCTTCTGAATATATTTACTTTTCATGAATTAATTACTAAAATAATTGTAGAAGAAATTAATTTTCTAAATCGACGTATGTCGAAATGTGTT